TAGATCTGGATTGTATGTATGTTATTACATGATTTGCCTGAATTTTATGTATGTTATTACATTAGTAGTCTACTTACATACTCATCAACCAAAAGACTATTACGAAAACATTCCCATTCACTCAAAAAAAGTATTAGTTGAACTATACTCAGGGATGAATGAGCCCTCATAAACATGGGATTTTTTGTGTCAATCTCCGTATGGGTAGCTAATTTATGATAGCTAAATTTCATTTTCTTTTCTATAGTTAACCCATCATTAATATATGTTTCAAGTTTCTCAGCACCAGACATACTGGTAATTTTAACATCTGAAATGAAACCTCTTAAAAATTACCTAAGTACAATATTTTTTGTAAATAATTAAAGCTGAAAATTAAAACTTCAGTAAAAATATTAAAAATAGAGTTCTAAATTTCAACCAAATATTGTGTAATATTTACCTAAGATTACATCTGAAAAATATGATCCTCAAATAATATCTATTCTGTAAGTTATTACCAAGTGTAAGTATTCAAAAGAACATCAACTTGTAGCCATAACAACAGGCTTCTGTGATTCCTGAGGATGTCTTTTTATAGTTTAATGTAATATTTTAGATTTCTTTAAAATAAATTAGAAATATGCTCTCAATGTTTACTTTTTTATCTGATTTGGGGAATAAATTCAGAGTCGTTTCTTCCAGCTACATTTTTTTTTTCTCATTTCGAATTATAAAATTAAGGCTTGATACTCATTCCTTTTTGTTTTTGCCTAAATATGAAAATAGAGGTTTAAAAACTGGTGGGGAAAATGAGGAGATTTTTTATGTGACTGTTTAATTTCATAAAATATTTCTGTGTTCCCCATAGAATTCTGAAATAATTTTCATTCCTGGTATGTTTTTCATTTCCTCACAACAAAAATTTTCTTATGACACTTTTCTTTGAAATATGCAAGTTATTTATATACCACTATATTGGTTTGTACTTACAAGGTATCTATAACCATATGTGCTATGTATGTACAGTTGCCTATTTATTATTTCCTCCAACAATGAATTTAGCAACCCCTGTGTTAAGTGCAAACTAAAATTAAACCACGGCTGTTATGCTAATGGAAATCTTTCTACATACATAAACATATACACCAATAATAGTCATATGTACACCTGAAACTAATATGGCATATGCCAATTATACTGCAATAAAAATAAATAAGTAGTGAAAAAATAAAACAGTTGTATAATGTAATGTGTTCAATATGTGGTGTCTACTTGAGCACAGTTGGGGGATGTTTCACAGAAGTAGTGATATTGTCTGCTCTTGCTGGAAAAATAGAAAGTTATTTCAACTGGAGAAAAAGAAGGGCATTCTAGAAAGAAAGAATATTAGGAAAGAAAAATAAATAAGTAATATACTTTAAAAATAAAGCATGATTATAATGATTTAGGCAGTTTTCTTTATTTCCAAAAACTCTTATTATCTATATTTAAAGTTTTGTAAAAAGGCTAATTGTTAAAATGGAAACTCTAGTTTCTGTTTTTGTTTTTGTTTCTGGATACTCTAGTGTCATATAATAGAGAAAATATATAAGCAAGCTTGAAAACTGGGTTAAATCCCCACTTTAATATCTCATTACCTAAATAATCCTGATAAAGTCACTTATGCATTTTGGGGTTGAATGTTCTAACTGTACTCTAAGGATGATAGTAAAAATTATCCTCTTTCCAAAAGACTCTGAGTAAATAGTACAAACACATAAAATATAAAATGGAGGGATAACTTTCTAATTCATAAAATGCTTATAAAAGTGGTAGTAATCTTCATCCTCATTATAGTATCAGAACTCCCAATCTCAATAGGTCTACAGACCAATCTGGAGAAATCATTTTTCTAATTACCTGTTTGCCCAAGCCAGAAAGCTTGCTTATTTTGTTTGTTTGTTTTGTTATTGTTATTTTGATCTATTTATAGCTCTTTCTTACTCTGTAAAGTGAACTGGTATAAAAGTTCCACAATTACTTATAATTATTTCATTCCAAACATATGAGTTCTTCCCACTGTGCCATAGTCTTGTGTGTGTGTTTGCTTTCCCAGAGAGTTTATTCTTTTTTGCTTGAAATGCCTCCTGCTCTGGAGTGCATCTCATTACCTAATTCTTATTCTACCCATTTTGTCTATGAAGCTTTCTCTGATCTCAGTTGAGCTATTAACATGTTCTGTTTTCTCTATCTTATAATTACTAGATTGTATTCTAATTACTTACTCTCTGTCTACCCACTGCACAATAAAATAATTGAAGATAGGTGCCTTTTATCTTTATGCTCCTACTATAGTGCTATATATACACTAAATGATAAAGAAATAAGTGTTGAAAAATGAATGAGTAGAAAATTTATTTTCTGCTAACTAGGACTATCACATATTCACTTTAATGTCTATCATGAGGGTCTTTTGTTATTATAACATGAATTGACATCTTAATCACCCAAAAAGATAAAATTATGCTCAGCAAAGTTTTAACATTATGTTTTCTATTCTACTTTAAAAATATAAATATTTTTAAAAATATAAATTAGTGCAAAATATAAATATTGCACTGACTTTTATAAATATTGAATGTAAATAATTTTTATTACCCCAAATTTATGATAATTTAGAAGGTTGTTTCCCAAAGTAAACCAGATAACAAAATTATTAGAATGGAATTTTGGTTGAATTTAAATATAACAACCAAGAAGATGGTCTATCTACTTGTAGCTCTTTTTACTCTTAGTCATTACCATATCCAAATTGATTTGTGACAATTGGCATACTGTTATTAAAAGATAAAAATGACTACAAACTGCTTCCTATATGTTTAATGCTTCATTACACTAGTGCCATAATCTTTATCCTCCCTTAAACAAAGCCTTGCCCAATCCTTCATTGAATATCAGGACAGAAATCTCACTTCTCAAGGAAACAGAGGTCAGTACTGTTGGCATCTTCAAAACATATGCAAATAACAATGGTAATCCGATGTAGAAAGATTCAATTGCACTTTTAATGAAATAATCTTAGCATTTCAGCTGCCATTTTTAAAGCAGGATTGCACAATATTGGAGGCATTTATGGCATTTTCACCCTGAAGCGCACCTCATAAAAGTGAAAATCCAGGTCGCCCTACTGTCTCCCTCAGGGGAGCTAGGAAAACAGCATGAACAAAAAGGGGTCATTAAATTTTATCTGTTAGAAGAGGCGGCTTTCACTGTTTCATAAAAACTTCAAATTTTTATCTGTTTCTTTGGTTATAATATGGCATATCCATATCAGAAACCAAATATTATCAAAAAAGGAAATCCAGGGAGTCTCTTGTAATCTCTACAATAACTTAATACGTCACTTTTTAAATTGACACTTTTGATGGTTGGATTTATGTTGATGATAACTTATAACTGTTTTCAGTTTATGAGGTAATAACTTGGATCTGGACAAAATAAAATAAAACTGGATTCAGGTTAGGATGCAGTTTTTGATTTATAACTAGGAAATTCCACAGGACTATTGTTACCCACAGGTAATGTGTTATTTTTTTTCATTTAGAAAATGAAGCATCTTGAATGGTATAAAATGAAAAGCTAAGCCAGCCATATTAACTTTAAAGAAAAGGACAATGGTTTGGACACAGTAAAATAAATACCTTCTCAGAAAATACAAAAGGAATTAAATTATTTTCATTGTTATGAATGAATGATGATGGTAACCAAACTTAGTACGTCTGGACATAATATATTGAAACTCATGTGGAAACAGTCTCTCATGACTCTCAGTTAAAAGAGAATTTATACTCTTGAAATTTATGTTGCCATGGTCAAGAAAATATTTTAAAAGGTAACAAAATGGTTACATAATTATAGAGTGAAAAGCTACCACTTGCACATTACTTTGGAAATGGAACAATATTTATAGTAGAAGGGTTCTCTATTAGGTACTATTTTTACCCAAAATAATGTTTAAAATTAAGCTGTAAAATATACTATGACATGACTACTCTGCCAATTGCAAATATAACGGACCTAAACACAGAGTCAATATATTAGCAAAAAGCAAAATTGAATTGTTGCATATGATATGATAAAAGCAATGATTTGGTGAAACATATTTGAAATTAATTTAGGTAGCAGAAAATTAAGAGCACTATAGTGTACTATTTTAAAACATCAAATTCTTTAAAATTCTTATTTTAGAAAGTGTGGTGAGTAGGTTGAACTTCTACAGAGATCATTTTGGAGTATGTAATCTCTCTAAATTATAGTGCAAAGAACAATGGAAATATATGCCTTCTCTACTTGCCAAAACAACATAATTGAAAGTAAACAGTCATAATCTATGGAACTTTAGCAAACATGCACCAGACAGCTTTGACACCTTAATGTGTATTCATCTCTTATCTGAAATCTCCAGCCTACTGTCCTTGACCTTTTTGATGACCTCTTCTCCATTCTCACAATGACATGCAAATGAAACACAGGTCCAATATGAATCTTTCCTGATACTCTCACTGTGCAATTTCTTTTGAATGTACGTAAAATGCACCTTATTGTTTATTATCCATGGATACTAATTATGTCTCCTGCTCTAAAATGATACAGAAATGTTATCAGCCACATTTGTGACTACCACATAGACACAAAATGTGATCCAAGAATTTGCTCTTCATTTGCCTTTCCTCCAAGACTTAAAGACATTAAAATCAAATAAATCTGTAAGTTTTCTACATTTCCACAATACATTTATTAGTTAGAAAGAATTTTGTTTAGAGCTTTAAATATATACTTGTTGTAAAATACCATAACTTTAATTTTTTTTATTTCACTACGGTATTCATATTTCTATTTTTGATTCCTCAGTAAAGATTTCTACACATTCACACTTTACATTGGTTTCCATGTTAAAATACACAGAACAGGATTTGTCACGTTAAATGTAACCCACAGTCTTAATTCTTAATTTAAGATTTTCAATGTTTGTTACAAACCCAGCTCGTGGATCTAAAGACAGGTCCCTGGGAAACTTCAGCTTTTTGCTAACGAGTATAGTAGGGTATAAGCCATTGACTTTGGATACTTCAATGATCCTTTTCTCTGTGTCAGACCAATAGAGGTTTTTTCCAATCCAATCAACAGCAAGTGCATTGGGGACAGCTGTGTTATGCACTACCTAACAAAATAAGAATTTAAACAGTTAACAGCGTAAATGCCTAGAATAAGAACTGAGCACTGCTTCCTGGTTTTTACAGAGATAATAGAATTCTATTTAAACATTAGAAATAAAATTTACATAGGCATAAAACAGAACAATTTACCCTAATAAAATGACTTGCTCATTTGTGAGAAATCACCTAATATGTAATCAGGCTCCCAGAAATTACATGCGGTTTTAAGATAGAAATGTTCAAATTTAAAAACAGCTGTTGGACAGCTGCATAATTATTGATCACATTTTCATTTTCATTTATTTGTACTCTTAAAATTTGGGGCAAAATTATGTCACAAAGACATACACACACAAAAATTATTGAAATTTATTTTTAACAGGTTCTAGAGGAGATATCAATAGCAATTACCATTCCCCCCAACTGCTGTTGCCCTATATAAATGCTCTACTATAGGAATGGAAAAAAAAATACAAGGGAGAACCGAACATAACCAAAGGGAAATTATTCTCATACAACTATTGTGCTTAATTATAACCCTTCTCAATATCAAATATAATAAGAATATAGGCTTTTCATATACAAATATGACACATATAAAATAATTCAAAATTCTTAAAATATATGAGCACTTTTTCTGAGTTTTTCATGCTTTGAGGACTGAATGAAAGAAGCAATTGAAACATGGGGCTGTTATAATAATATAGAGACAAAAAAAAAACATTGAATTTTTATAGTTATCCTTTCCCAATAACCATAAATAGTAAATATATAAAGTGACAACATGAACATTTTCAGCATTTAATAATATCAACATTGTACAATTTAATATGTACATTTAATAATAATGTACAATACTGAGTTGTACAATATCTTTTTTTTCTTTCTCCAAAATTCTAAATTGGAAAATTGTCATGTATGACCATTTTAATAAAAATCAGTGAATTATTAATCCCAAAGGAAAAAGATGTATTTTGTAACCCTATGTTATAACATAATTTAAATTATTTAAATAATTTTATTTTAAAACCTGAGATAACACAGAAATGGTGCCAAATAGCTCATATCTAGAAGGTGACAGGTATTTAATTATGATGCTGACTAATCAGAACATTCATGATTTTATACAAATGCATTCAATTTTTCCCATCTATAGTAGTTTAATTTTGATAGTTCTATAATTTTAATCTATAATTTAATTATTAATATTTTTCAATTACAAACACTCTGTCTCAACTTCTTCTTTTATATAAATTAACACAATTGAACCTGAGGCACTAACCATTCAAGCTGGAACCATACATCACTTTTTCTAGGGTTGTGAATAAGGATCCAAATTTTATTTACTCAATTTGATTTTTACCTTATTTCATGTAATAGCATTATAATGAAATATAAGAATAAAAGGGTCATTTTTCACATTTAAACTATGTATTAATTTACATTATAAAATGTGAAATACAAACCAGTCTAATATATTCTATGAGTTGTACCATTACCATCAAATAACATTTTCTATTTAATTCAACCACGCTAATAAAATATCCAACAATCCCATTGTTGTAATATTTAGGTACCTTAATGTCACTTCCATTTAAACACATTCTATTTATGCGGCTGCCATTGGGTCGGCTGGAATCAATCCAGTAGATGAATTCTTCTCTGTAATCAAAGTCTACAGCAATAACATTGTTTAATCCCTAAAAAAAAAGGAATAGTTAAGTAGAAATTATTTTTAAATGTTTTAGGAGTTTATAAGAGTCTCTAACTCCTTTTAAATACTTATAGCCATTACAATAGTGGCATTTGTGATCAAATCTTTTTAAAAGCACCCTATGTTTACATTTTCCCTGCATTATAAACTTAAGATGTTGCATAAGCTATTTGAAAATGTTTTTCAAGCAGGCCACAACAATTTCAGCATTTTTAGGGATAATGGTGTAATCAAATAGCCAGTAAAGGAAGTGGGGGCAGCAACTTGCTTTTGGAGAGATAAAGTGAAAGATTCTCACTGTAAGTTAATATTAAATATACATTTGATGCCATTATTATCATCTGTTCTGTAGAGCAAATAGAAAAGAGCACACATTTAAATGGGAAAAACTAAAGATCCCTGATGATTTATGATGATCCCTGGATAGCCATCTGATTAAAGTCAGAAAAGACAATTTGGAAATTTTATTATTTACAAAAGCTTTTGTCTCAACTGGATAAATACACTTTTCCTCCCTCACCCCTTTTTTGCTTCCAGTGGTCCCTTAGGCAACACAGTGCCATGTTAGAATTTAAAGTTAAAACCTTAGGAGAGTATTTGACCAAAGAGGAAGTGGAGAGTCAATATCTTTTTGTCCAGTGTGGTGAGGAAAAGCCTCATTTCAGACTCATGGTTATGCAGTTTTTAGCAGGGAACAAAACTAGACAGGAATTCAGCCGAAGGGTTTGAGATGCCTCAGATCGTTGGTTTGGTAGTTCTGCTGTTTGACTGATTTTGTGGAGGACTGTGCACCAGCATCTGGGCGTCTTCTGAGATGTTAGATTGTTCAAATGACTGCTTAGGGATTCGTTTAATTCTGGTCTATTGTTAGGGCTTATATATTTACTACCTCAGTGGACCAATAAAACTTAGATCAGAATTTCTATAGTGCTAACTCATTTTTGCTTGAATAGTTTATTAATATATAAATCCTTATGGATCAAAAAAATAATTCAAGACAGCAGACACTTGGCAAAGCCCTGAGAGATCTTTACTATACCTTTATAGCTGATATAAGTTGCTTATATCAACTAGAAGCCCGGTGCATGAAATTTGTGCACGGGGGGTGGTGTCCCTCAGCCTGCACCCTCTCCATTTTCATTTCTACAATCCATGGTATTAGATTTCTAAATGTAGTGCATGAATATAAGTTATAGCTGGCCTAGCTATAACTATGTTTTAGACTACTTAGGCTGAAATTTTTTTTTACCAGTTGTTATAATTTTATGTTACATTTCTTGAGATTGTTACTGATAATAGTGTATAAAATTCAAGATGTTAGGGTAAATCATTTTCCCTAATCACCTACACAAAACATTCCCAAATAATTAAAGCAAAGATGGTGTCTTTCATTTATTTTTACTGGGTTAAATATGGAGATATAATTACTTTTGTTTTCTTCCCAAGTCTGTATATGTAGACAATCTCTAAGATGGTAAAATGGTTTTCTACTGCCTAGAACTTCTTGAGTATTTCTACAATGCTATGACAAAGTCATAGTGAAAACATCGTCCCTAACAAAAATGATGTATTCAAACTGATGGCTGTCAACACTAGAAGTAAGACTTATCTTTAGTTTGGGGGTCTCTATTTCCTTGCTCAATGGTCACCATTAACAAATGCTTTCCAAAAGCACAGGTGTTTAGAGTCTTCATGAACTTCCTCATTGTCCTCACTCCCTTTTTATTTTCATAAGAAAACTACCTGAGCCCAACTGGCATGGCTCAGTGGTTGAACATTGACTTATGAACCAGGAGGTCCTGGTTCGGTTCCCAGTCAGGGCACATGCCCCTGTTACGGGCTCAATCCCCAGTAAGTGTCATGCAGGAGGCAGCAGATCAATGACTTTTTGTCATCATTGATGTTTCCATCTCTCTCTCCCTTTCCCTTCCTCTCTAAAATCAATAAAAATATATTTTAAAAGAAAAGAAAATTATATGACATTCATCCCCACTTAGGTACTAGTGATTGGCAATAGTTTAAAATTATGCCACCAGGAAAAAAAAAATGTTATCTGAAAGTGCATTAAAGTGGTTTAGTTATATGAAATAGACTTAAATCATGCATAGAGAAAAGTAATTTTGATCCATTAAGAACAACCTCTGATAACATATTAGCTATAAAAAAACAACAAAAGAGATATCAATAGAAATATACTGAGCCATAGGGTTGGAAAATGAAGCAAGGAATGCTATTGAAATTGTTATGGGTCTTTCATTGAGCTTGCTATATTAGTTAAATTTGTGGTTCAGCTGAGCTTATAAATAGAGTATCCTAATAAGAGGACTTTCTAAAAAAGCACAGTCTAAAAAAAAGACATGCTAAAGAAAACAACAACACATACACATGTGACTACATCAGGGGTGGGCAAACTTTTTGACTCGAGGGCCACAATGGGTTCTTAAACTGGGCTCAGAAGAAGGAGCTGCGGCCGTGTTTCCCGACATTGCCATGTTAACACTGCTGCTGGTGAAGGAGCGGAGGGGAGAGCAAGAGAACCCTCTGCTCTTTCGGCTCCACGGGCCGGATAGAACAGCCGAATGGGCCGGATCCGGCCCGCGGGCCATAGTTTGCCCATGGCTGGACTACATGGATGGATTTTTAAGAATATCATGCTAAATGAAATAAATCAGACAGAAAAAGTAAAAAAAAACAACAAACATTTGATTTCATTCATATCTATACTAATAAAAGGATAATATGCTAATTAGACCAGGAGACCAGACATCTTCCAGATGTCCCACCTCCTTTTGGACAAAGCCAAGGTGGTGGGGGCTGAGGCAGAGGTGGTTAGGGGCGATCAGGCCAGCAGGAGAGGGCAGTTGGGAGCCATGAGGCCGGCAGGGGAGCAGTCAAGTAGTGATCAAGCTGGTAGGCAGGCTAGTGATTAGGAGCCAGAAGTCCCAGATTGGAGAGGGTGCAGACTGGGCTGAGGGACCACCCCCCCCCATGTATGAATTTCATGCACTGGGCCTCCAGTGTGTATATAAAACTGAAAGCAACAAATGAACAAACAAGAAAAACAAACAAAAACTCATAGATACAGATAACAGCATGGTGTTATGAGAGGGAAGGGGGTGGAGGGGGAGTAAAGGGTAAAGGGGGTCAAATACACTGAGTGGCCAGATTATTCTGACCACCCCATCAGTACTTCGTTGGGCCACCTTTTGCCTTCAATACTGCGGCGATTCTTCTTGGCATTGACTCCATGAGATGTTGAAAGGTGATGCGAGGAATCTGACACCAGGCCTGATGAATAGCACTGTCCAGTTCTGTGAGATTTGATGGTTGTGGAACCAGCTGCCTGATGGCCCTTTTAACTTCTCCCACAAATGCTCAATTGGATTGCGATCTGGTGATTGTGGGGGCCACCTAAGCAAGGTAAAGTCTCCCTCATGTTCTTGAAACCACTCCTGCACAATACGAGCACCGTGGCATGGCGCATTGTCTTGTTGGAAGAAGCCATCTCCATTGGGATACGCCATCAACATGACAGGATGAACTTGATCAGCAACGATACTTAGGTATGTTGTGCTGTTCAGACGTTTATAATTGTCTGGCCCTCTAGCAACTTCAGCGTGAAATTATAGCTAATTTGCCTACAGATGTCAGGTGGTCATAATCTGGCCACTCAGTGTATATGGTGATGGAAGGGGAATTGACTTTGGGTAGTGTACACACAATGCAGTATACAGCTGATGCATCATATAATTGCACACTTGAAAACTATATACATTACTAACCAATAAATTTAATTTAAAAATAAATAAATTAACTCTTTAAAGGCAAAAATGAACCCCCTGCACACACACCATAAAAACAATAAACAATATAGTAAAAAGAAAAGAAACATATCCCCTTTCCAGAGATCATACAAGGAATTAATGACTGGCACACTTAACTTGGAAGGTAAAGGGAGGACATAGAGATTTACTCCGAGAGAAAGATAATTTTCAATATTCTGTACCTTTGCTATAAGCTTAAAATTAGTCTACACAGAACCATGGCTTTCCCTCAAGGAGGTTGCCCTATACCAGTGCCATTTCTCCTAATTCCAGTTCCTCCCATTATAGCTTTTTTCTCATTCCCATCTGTCTTCTGCTGTGATTACAGTGTGACATAAGCCAGCTTGCTGACTTTTCACCCTGTTAGTATCTGCCCTGCCTACCTACAAGGGTTATTATTGTAAGGATGAATTTAGGTACATGAAAGTATGTTGCAAATGTATGGTATACATTTAGATATTATTTTTCACATCTTTAAGTCTTTAATTCTCATGGTAAAGGGAACACTTTATGTTGTTCAAATGAATATTAGTCGAGGAAAAACACATTAAAAAATAAGTTAAATAATATAGAACATCATTTGGCTAGCAAAAACCTTTCCATTTTAAGAGTTATATCGACTTGAACTTTTTCTAGGGATATGCATTAAAGAGATAGTTGTCTGGCCCTGGCTGGTGTCGCTCAGTTGGTTGAGCATCATCCCGTGCTTCGAGAGCTCACTAGTTCTACCCCAGTCAGGGCAAACACCCAGGTTGAGATGTGTGAAT